CACTCATTTCAAGGACTGTTGCATGATCCTACCCCCATCTACATGCACAGGCTAGAGCCATCAGCCCATTAACTCCCTCATCAGATATTAGGAAGAGTCTGGTTAAAAGAACAGAATACTGGTAAGTTTTCACCCTGAGATAACAGGAACAGTCCCACTAGAAATTTCACTGATCTTTGACAAAATGATCCAACTATTATTTTTCCACTGATTCTCCCTCTTTTTTCCCTCTTTGAAAGGAGGCACGCACAATGAAGATTCTCCCTCATCAACAAATCCTCACAGTGTCACATAATCATATTATCAAGGGAGGAAAAAAAAAAGCAGCTGGGGGGCACTGAGCCCACTTGCTATTTCAATTGCTTCAGATTGCCAGAGAATCTTGAGGCAATTTTAAACCAGAGGAATCTACGAGTGAGTAAAAGGTTGGCCTGTCAGAGACATCTCTCTTCCAGATTTACAGTGCTTTGTCTATGCCGCTGTCTACCCAACCACTAAGATGCTATAATCATATATTCTTAAGGTGACAGCATAATATGCATTTCCTCTTCAGTGCACTCTGTTTCGCCTAAGGTTAAAGGCTGTTTTATAATGTGTCAAAAACTCCAGCTGCAAATTAATAGGAAGATTGACATCCCTCCTGTTTTCACTATTTAGAATGAAGTCAAATCACTGTATATGAGCTAATTGTTAGGTGAATATTTCAACTGTGTTTCACTAAACCCTGTGAAGCTTCAGTCTTGACATTCAATGTAAGCACCATCCATATGCCATTGAAACACATTTAAATGGAATTCCTTTAAATTCCTTTAGGAGGAAGAAAAGAATACCTAAATGGTTTGTTGATGTTCTTTAAGTCTGAAAAGTTTCATTATCAACTCCATTCTCCCCTCACAACCAACCCCATTTTTTTTTCTGGACAAATGATGAATGCTTTCTAGACTCCATTTACTTTGGTTTTACAAAAAAAAAATGTTTTAACTGCTACCAAATATGGCACTATTTTCCTACAGCATACTCACTACTCCTTTGCCCCCAACCAAACGGTGACCATTGATTGTGTGGGGCTATGAGAAAATACATTCTTTTAGTGCTCTATATCCCAGATGGCAAGAAAATCACTAGAGGAAGGTGGGAGAGATGACGGGCATTAAACCTGAAAACAGACATTTTGGAAGACGATTACGGGAAATAAGGATCTTAAGACAACAAGCAGTAATCACTAATTGTGTACAAAAGCACATTTACTATTCACATCAACAGAACAACGACAACAAGAGGTACCGTTAACAACAGACTCTTGATCATAAGACACAAAAAGCTGTTCGAGGCCAGAACTTCCGTCATTTGCCAGAGTGAGACAAATTCTAATCCCTTCATTTCATGCCTTGAAATTGAAGACCAAAAGCATCTCTTATTTCTAATCACACTCCTAATTACAGAAACACAGGCGTGCACCCCTGCTGGAGAAGGGGCTGCCAGTATTTCCATTATCAATTCCCATTTTCGGGGCTTATTACTAAAGCACTCGCTCTGGGGAGATTGTTGGCAGAGAGTGGCTCAGCACGGAGAAGAACATGTTTGACAAAATTTGGCACCAAGCAAGGAGAGCTCAAAAGCAAATACAACGAGATACAAAAGCAACACCGAAAAGTCAGGGAAACCCAGGGCTCTGGGTCTAGAGAGAGTAGCAACTCAAGGCAGATTTAATGGACAAATGAAAGCCCTGCTTTGAACACTGGAAGAGAAAACATATATTTGACTTCCGAAGCTTTTACCTAACGTCGGTAACAAGTTAGAAGAGAGGAAACATGATCCACCCATCTGTCTCACCGTAAGCAAATATTGGCAGGAATCAAATTCAAACATCTATTAGGGACTGCTCCTATTCCAGCCTTGGCTTGAATCCCGGGGGAAAAAAAAGGTAACCTTTGCAGAAATACAAGGTTGTTTTGAACCCTGCTGGCATCTAATGGTTCCTAGCTTCTTTCGAATTGCAGGTCAGGTGCCAACTCCTATAGGACATCTTTTCTAATTCCTCCAGGTATTAGCACATGCTCCATCTTGAAATTACTTGTTCAAAACCAGCCTTAGACACTTACTGTGTGACCCTGCATAAGTCACTTAATCTGTCTGCTTCAGTTTCCTCATCTGCAAAATGAGGATAATAATAGCATATACCTCTCAAGGTCATCGTGAGAATCAAGTAAGATAATATTTGTAAAGCGCTCAGCACAATGCAGGGTACACAACAGACGCTATATACATATTAGCTATTATTCTTATTATACTTAGCTAGTATTTACAGATATCCCTTCTACATAGTGACTTTCCCCATTGCTTTAGTTTTGATATATCAACATAAGAAATTAAATGGGAATTTGTGGGGAGTTTTGCGGAAGCTGCAGATGACCCATGAAGGCCAGAAGATGACGCAGAGAATATGACCAAATATTTAACCCAAATTTTAAAATAAGTTACTGTTAATACCTCATAAAAGAAAAAGAAAAAAATTCAGACTTCTTCTCTGGTACAGAGGACCAAAAAATTTTATGCAAATTTTCCAGATCCCTGGGGCACCGTATCCCTAACCCCCATTATGTGGAAAGGATAACTGCGTATAGAGCTTTAAGGCCTATAGAAGATTTTACTAATATTATTCATTTGATGCTCACTGTACTACCAAGAGGCAAGTGTTATTTTTATCCCCCATTTTATAGATGATGAAAATAAGGTGGACAAAAAAGTGACCTGCCCAGTACCACACAACTAGAGACTGAGGTCAGATTTGAACAGAGATCTTCCTGATTCTAGGTATACTTTCTACCTACTGTGCCTGACATCCAGCTACCTCCAAATTAGGCAGTTAGCTCCTTGTATATATGTTGGGTCCCTCCAGGATAACACGAGCTACTTGAGAGCAGGGACTCTTTTCTTTCCATCGCTGTATCTCTGATTCCTAAAGTGCCTAGCACAAGAAGCATTGATCAACACTTGTAGAAATTAATTAGCCATCAGTCTGGACACTTGTTCATAAACTTGTGTCATATTTACCGGGAGCCTAAGTGCCTACTTGATTCCCTCCAATTTTAATTAAGAAATGACAGAACATAACCACGCTCCATCCTCCAACGTGAATTCAATCAGAAATTTGTAGCCAAGTCTAATTGTCATTTTTTCAGTGATGTAGATGCCTTCAAGGTTGTGATCACCAAACTCATTTGGGCCAACTCTTGATTTTCTGCTTCAGTGGAAGGTAAACGGCTCCACAAAAGAAATTTGGCTTGAGAGAACATGAAAAGCTTCTCAGGCCTTCGCCACACTCAACCTTCCCCCTGCTCACTCCATTTTGGAAAAGGACCTTTCAGAGTGAGCACCACTCTGGTTCAAAGCACAATTCTAAATTTCAAATCAGTTTGATAATCATTGATTCGGCATCTACCAAGCAACAGGCAACACGCTCAGGGTTGGGCATGTGGAGACAAAAAGGAAATCATTTCTGTCTTCAAGAAGCCTACATTCAACTTAGCTCATAATCTTTTTAAAAGCGAGAAATCATTGTATTAACATAGGATTCATGGGACCATATAAAAGAAATGAATTTAGATGTAATCTAGCCTTATGCCTTCATTTTAAAACAGATGAAAAAACTGAAGCTCAGCAAAACTGTGACTTTTCCAAGGTCATCCAAGTAGGAAAGAACACAGCCAGGACTAGAACCCAGGCCCTTTATCCCCAAGTCCAAGCTCGTTGCATTCCATCATTTTCTTCTGGCTCTTCTAGGTTAGGATAAACAAAGATTCTGTTAGGTTTTTTGCTTTGTTTTTGATTATGGTAATAAATGCAGTGATCAAAAGGGAGAAAAAATCCAAATGAACAGTCCTGATTCAAATCTCTCCTTTTCTTCTGCGTCTCATCTTGGCTCATAGCCCTGAAAGGCTGGATGGGGGCACTGAAATCAACAGGTCATAGATTTCAAGCCAGAAGAGATGTAAGAGACCACCTCACCTAAATCTCGCATTATATAGATAGGTGTCCTGAGGCCCAGAAAGGCTGCCACCTTCCCAAGGTAAAATAGCTTGTTAGTGGCAAAGCTACATCAGGAATTAGAACTTCTTACTTCTATCCCATGGCTTCTTCCACAGCCTCTCCATTTGTTTTGCCCCATAATGATGATAAACATTATATATACATATATGATTTTATTCTCACAACAATCCTATAGGTAGGTGATTTTATTATCCCCATTTTTGCTATGGAGAAACTGAGGCAGAGAGAGGTCACACAGGGTAACACAGCTAGTAAGTGTCTGAGACCGGATTTAAATTCAAGAAGATGCTTCTTCTTGACTCCAGGCCCAGCACTCTATCCACTCCTCCATCTAGCCGCCCTCGCTGTCATCAGAAGATTTTTTTTAATTAATTTTTTTTAAATTAATAAGCTTTTATTTTCTTCTCCCAATTACCCCCATTGGGGCAAAACTCATTAAAGGTGTTCATACAAAGTCTAAATAAACTTAGTAATTTATGTTGCAGAGTGGATAATTGTTCATTACTAGATGGCCTTTGACTTCACTCATTCATTCATTTATGCACGAAGCATTTATTTCATGCCTATTCTCCGGGTTTTCATGTTCAGCATTTTAGTCATTTACCTTTCTTGGCAAAGACACTAGAGTAGTTTGCCAGTAGTTTGCCATCTCTAGTTCATTTTCCAAACTAAGGAAAACAGGATTAGGTGACTTGCCCAGGGTCACACAGCTAGTAAGTGTCTGAGGCCAGATTTGAACTTGGGAAGATGTGTCTTCCTGACTCTAGGCTCAGTACTCTATCCTCAGTGCCACCTACCTGGCCCCCCCTCAGATTTTGTAACTAGAAACAATGCATAGAAATGACAGAAGAGTAGATTATGGTTCATATTCCAACAAAACATATGTTCATAATATTTAGAATAGTCCCAAAGTGAAACGGGCAACCTTCAGAGATAATTGGATTCCTCACCTTTGAAGTTGAGGCTGGATGGTCACTTATTGGTGACGTGGAAGATGGAAACTCCTGTTCAGGCGTGGGTTGGCCCCAAATCGTTCTTCCAATTCTGAGATTCTGTTTGTTGTTGTTGTTTTCAGCTTTCTCTATAAGAAATATGGCAATTCATAAGTAATACATACAAAAAAAACTATGAAACTATTTTACAAACATTAGATACAAGTCGAAGTGAAGCTGGTATCACCCTCAAAAAATCATTGGTTATATCCATTCAAGAGACAACTCTGAGTAATCATTGGGATTGAATACCAGTTGCTTTCTTAAAAGATAGCTATCCAATGAGAAAAGTGTATTCCCTCTTAGGTAGCTCATTCCATGGTAAATAACCCCCTTTTTATTTAAACCAGCTTCTTCTTACTCTCATTTGAGAAACTTACTCTCCGTTTGACTTGTGCAAAGAGATAAACAGCTAGTTACAATCTTCCTAAAAGGTCATGCTAATCTATCCCTTTCTGACAGAATATAGACTCTTCTCATAAAGTATACAATAAAGTCTTTACCAAGCCAGAATTTAATCAAGCTAAATGGAGCTAATAAAGAAATCAAGAGTAATTGAAATGAAGAAAATAGGCCCTTCCCTGCTTGGTTTATAAAATGTGTTGTCCAAGTCAGCACTGATTCAAGTATCTTTTTGGATATGAGTATTCCATAGAGCCCAATGGATTTCTGTTTCAGGTTAAATCTCTAAGAAATAGCAGGCCTGGTTGAAATCGAACATGAGAGAAAAACTAGCCAGAGTCCTAAGATAGCATTGGTACCATTCTCATTAGCAATTTTAGGATGATCTCCTTTGGATCAAGTTCAATTTTGCTATTTATACATGGCTAGGTTTCTTTCCTGCTGCCAGAAACAAGATGGATGGGCTCCGTTCCTTCCTGTATGATTTGCAGATTCCTTCCAATGATGCAACAACTCCCTTTTGTCTTCTTTTCCCATCTCTGCCACCACATTCCCTTACATTAAATTGCATATATGCTTTGTCTGCCCAAAGCCCACACCCTTCCTTGTTACCAAGAAGAGTTTTCTTTTCTTTTCTTTTCTTTTTTCATAGACTTATGAATAGTTTCTTCCTAAATGAATCTCCTATTCTAGCATTTGGACTTCTTTTTTCTTTTTCTTTTTTTTCCCTTGAGAGAGAATACAGGAGCTCTGGGCATGGAAAACATGTACATTTAATAGAGAGTATGGACCACATCTTGTTAATTAAATTTCTTTTTACATTAAGTAAAAACACATGGAAAGTCAGAGAGAAAGAGAGAGAGAGAGAATTCAGCTCTTTGCCAACATATGCTTACAACCAGACAAGTACTAATCCAAGGGAAATTAAAATGGATAAAATAATAATTAGAAAAAAAAACTTTCATCCTTTTCTATGTATGTAAATATATGCATATATGTATATACACATATATGCTATATGCATACATATGCACATACATACATATGAACAACTAGTTTCTGTCTTAGGGATTCACATCCTAATTCTACTACTTATTCCCATTATCATTTTGAGCAAACTCCTTAAAGTCTTTGGGCCTCTATGTCCTATCTGTAAAAGAAGGAAGAGGTGTTGGGTGACCTCTAAGGTCCCTTCCAATTCTAAGTCTTTGATTCTATATTATACACAACATGTCGGGGGCAAGAGGGGTTGGCAAGGTCATAAAGTGAATAAAGAGCAGGCCTTGGAGTCCAAAAGACCTGGATTCAAATCTTGCTGCTGAAAAGGACTAGATCCATGACCCTGGGCAAACCACTAAACTTTTGAGCGTCCCTGGGTGGCTGTTCTCTAAGACCAGACGTTATAGATGAGTTACTGATGAGAAACCATGGAACGTGTTTCCACACCAGTACTTCCCCATACAGATTAAAATACAGGCCTAAAACAAAATATAAACAACATATTACAGGTCTTGGTATCTTGGTGTCTATATGTCTCTATGTATGTGTGCATGTATGTGTGCACACATAGGTGTGTATATATATGTATGTACATACACAGATCTATAATATACGATGCATGTACATATACACAACATATAATACAGTACTGCATAGAAAGGCAGATAGATAAATAGATGAGATTATATCACTGTTTTCAAAATACATATATGCATACTTTCCTCCCATATGTGCACTGTTTTTTTTTCTTTCTTTCTTTTTGTTTTAAATACCAAAATCTAAATCAGATGTCCATTTCAGGAAATAGCTGGATTTTTTTCATCCAATAGGGATTAGAGCAGAAACTTCATCCAGTCAGGGGCAGGAAGCATTATTCCCAAGTGTTCAGCTAAGAGGTGGTATCTTAGGTCTCATAATTTTGTCAGGCCCCAAACAGACTGTGGGCGTGAAACCTCATGTAACTTGGACCCTGATGAATTTTTTAGAAGTGATACAGAAAAGGCAAGAATGCTTGCCCAAAATAGCTCCTCAATCCATTTTATGTGAGACCTTCAACAGCCCTCTCAATTCCAGAAGTTAAAACTGCCAATTTCATCTGGGTTGGTTTGGGATGGACAATGTAAGGAAAGCCATGCAATAAGCTGACCTGATAAGTAAACCACTTACCATTATCAAAATAATCCATCTTCCCTTTTGGGAGAGGAAGGGACTCCTGCTGTTCATAATTAAATAAAAGTCTGGAAACACAATTCAATATACACCAAAAGACTCACACACTCTTAAGCACAATCTGATAACAATTTCATTCTTTTTTTCCACTTTTTCCAGTACCATCCAAATATTTGGAGAAAAGCTTTAGGCCAAAACAGTGATAATGATTCTGCCACATTTCCTATCCGTGGCTTTTAAACCTAGACTTGTGATTTCTTCAATGTAGGCAACTCCTAGTGCAGACAGTCCATCCATTGATGTGGAGCAGAAATTCCCCTATAGCTTACAATCTTAAAGAGCTACTTAAAACATTAAGAGGTCAAGCCATTTACTCATGGTCACACTGTCATTATGACTCAGATGTAAGAATTTGACATGGATGAACTGAAGGCTGACTGCAAAATCAACCCTCTACACACTACACCATGCTCCATCTCTTCATCTATTATTCCTGTAACAAAACACTTGATGTAATTCTCATGAAACACCCAGCATTGAGATATATATCATGGGCATACTCTAAAAATACTTGGTGATTGACATCAAGGGACAGGAGAACAAATGAAGTATTCATCAAGTGGGGAATAGTTCCCTCACATTACATATGGTACTCAAATTATGTTATTAAACTTTGGACAGGAGTGGAATTTAAGTCTTAAATAAATAAAGGGATATTTCAAAATGCTAATGCAGCTGTGATCTTATAGATGTAAGCAGGACCTTTAGAATGTAGAGCACTAGTTGATGAATTCTTTGGTTATGGAAACCATGAAACAATGAATTTAATCTAGTTATTTTATTTAATTCAGCAATAAGAAAGAATACTGGACTCAGAGTTAGGAAAAGCATAGCTCAAATCTTACCCTCGACACTTGCTAGATGTGTGACAATGCACAAGTCATTAAATCTCTCAGCCTGTTTCTTTAGCCATAAAATGAGAACATTAATATCAGTAGCACTAAACTCACAGAGTGGTTTAAAGTTCAAACGATGTAATGTGTGTGAAGTATTATGCAAACTTTGGAGCACAACATTGTACATGGTTGGTACCTCTTTCATTATTATTATTAGATAGCCAGGCATCATGGATAGAAGGTTTATACTTCAAACATCTGAACACAGCTTTCTGTGTTGTCTCCTCTCCAGAATAACTACCCCCAATTCCTTTGACCTATCATCATATGATATGGGTTCCGTATCCCTCACCATCTTGATTGCCCTCCTCTGCCAACTCTACCCCTTATCCATTGTCTGTCAACTGTAGCATCCAGAACCAAATTAACAAAAGATTCCTTAGACACCACTTCCAATTTATTTTATTCTCTCACTGGGGATTCAGTGGTTTCAAAGACAAAAATGGGCCTTGATTTTTCACTTCTACAGAATATTTGACATTTGTTGAAGAATTGTTTATAAATACGGAAACCCATTTTTATTCCAACATTGTAAGATATGTTTCCTAAGAGTTATTGTAATAACAATGAATCAGAAAGCATTTTTTTAAATTAAGCCTTGAGAATACCATAAAGAATGTCAATGGGTTATTCCTGAACACAATTTTTCTGGGTTGATACTGAATTTTAAATCTTCTATCATGATTGACATTCAACCCTGGGAATACTTTTGTATTTATTTCCCCTCTTCAAAGGGTTTATCCCATCTTCAATAATGTCTACTGATAACTACCAAGGCTGGTTAAAATGGGGCATGAGATCTTATTGACTTCTTAAGTCAAACTGAAGGTATGTTCTGAATCCTTTGAAACATCCTTAAAATGATAACCAAATCTCTAGTTTTCTGAAAACTATGGGGCAAGGAGCAAAAAACAAAGAAAAAAATCAAAGCAAACAAAGCCAAAATGCCTAAATTTCATGAAGAATCACTTGATCTGAAGGAGTTTCTCATTTTCCTTAAAGTAAAGGGGGGTTGGACAAGGGAGAGAGGCATCAAGCTATATCCACCTTTATTTCTCGATATTCACCCATCAAGTGCCACAGATCATTTCAAGTCTTAAGGTAAGAAACATAAGATCACTCACTTTCTTACTCTTTAATTTACTGTCACAAATTAAAGATTCTACTATCATTATCATCATCATTACCATCACCATTTCTACTAAATAGAACATGGTATGGCTTCCAAAGTAAAAACAGACCAAAACATCTACTTAGTCAAATAAGGTACATGGATGACAACCAGTTATATAGCTATCCTGAAAAACACACTAAAAAGTTACTTATCTCATGAAATCTTTCCTCAGTAATAACAAAATGCTATTTGGACTCAATAAGCTTAAAATTCTTAATATATACCAAAGAAAAATAGAACCTAAAGGTTTCCAGTTTGAAACTATAGATCAAAATTAACCAAATGAATTGAAATGGTATTTACAAAAACCTTAGTCTCCTCAAATTGAGACACACAGAGTACAATCTATCACTATGAAAGCTATGAATGTCAAGAGGCTTAATGGCAT